AAATTCAATTGGTTTGCGCCACGATAAAGTCATGTGACCGGAAAATTTTTTGTGGTATAATTACATAGGTTTATCAGGATGGATTTTTAACCGATTTTGACAGGTTATCGGTTTTGACAGGATCGGTTCTGAGACGAAAATTTTTTTTTTTGCGAATACAGAACATTGATCGATAATCGATTTTCAATCTAATCGATATTCGCAAAAAAATTTTTTTTTGTAAATATCAACTATTTCGAAAACAGCAATAGTTCAAAATTCTTTAATGATTTAAAATTTCGTTTCTTAAGTTGATTCTAAATCTACCAAGATTTCGTTCCGACGTACAGAATATTTGAATCGCGCTTATTCGAAAAAAATTTTTTAAATCGATTTGATTGGTCAATAATCATGCTTGGATCTACGTAAATTAACCAATCACATGGATGAATTTCTTCTAATTCAAATCACGTGCACTGTGTGTTAGCATTATAATTCCTTTAAAACCGGGAAGATAAGGTTTAAACCTCTCGAATCACTAAGTTATACGTATGATTTTCATACCATTTGTACGATGAATTTATCGAAAGTGTTTCGGCACACTAAAATACCTTCGGTAGGAAGTCTCGTATCGTCCTTATCCAACGGGATACGCGTCGCTACTGAAAATACACCTGGTCACTTTTCGGCAGTAGGTGTGTACGTGGACGCAGGTTCAAGGTATGAAACACCTCAGACCACCGGAGTAAGCCACATTTTGGATCGAATGGCATTTAAGGTATATAATGTCGCGTATGATCAATCCTTTACGTTTTATCAATTAATACCTCAGTTATTGACATTCGTTTTCGTTACATTTATTAGGGTACAACGACTCACACAAGTGAACAAACTCAAGCTATTTTAGAGTCGTTAGGTGGTAATGTTATGTGTGCCAGCGGTCGTGAAGCTATAATGTACCAATCTGCCATATTTAGTCAGGATTTATCAAAGGTTATAGCACTTTTTGCTGACGTGATTCGCAATCCGCTTATCGACCCAGCTGAAGTTGCTGAACAACAACAAACAGCTCTTTATGAAATTCAGGAAATTTGGCAAAAACCTGAAATGATTATGCCAGAATTGCTTCATACGGTTGCTTACAAGAACAACACTTTGGGAAATCCAATGTTATGCCCGGAAGAAAGATTAAATACAATTACTCCTGAGCTTATAAGAGATTATATGTCAATATGGTATCGTCCTGAGCGAATAGTCATAGCTGCCGTTGGAGCAAAACATGAAGATGTTGTAGAATTAGTTAACAAGCATTTTGGTGACATACCAAAATCACCAGATTTCAATTCACATTTCTCATTACCACATTCCATCACATCATCAAATTATAAACAATCAAAAACTTCACTTTACAAATCAATAACCACAGCGGCATCATCAATTCTTCATCCAACGCAGCCTACAACATCTACCATTGCGGCACAAAAAGCTCATTATACAGGTGGTACGCTCTTACTCGACAAATCACAGCCCCATACTCATCTTTATATATCTTTTGAAGGACTTTCAATTCATGACCCTGATATATATGCTCTTGCTACACTCCAAATGTTACTTGGTGGAGGAGGGTCGTTTTCAGCTGGTGGTCCAGGAAAAGGAATGTATACACGCTTGTTTACTAACGTTCTCAATCAATATTCATGGGTAGAATCTTGTATGTGTTTCAATCATTGTTACACCGATTCAGGACTTTTTGGTATTATGGCATCATGTCGTCCTGAATATAACCGCGTCTTGGTAGATGTAATTGCCAAGCAATTCGAATCAGTGGCAAGTTATGGACGTGGAGGAGTAACTCAAATGGAACTTTCACGTGCAAAGAATCAATTAAAAAGTAGTTTACTAATGAATTTGGAATCCAGGATGGTTCAGTTAGAGGATCTGGGCAGACAGGTTAATAATTTTTTTCGTCATTTGACTGATAATATTGAGTCAAAGGCCATGTTTTTGATTAATATGCTGATATTTTATAGGTTCAAGTTCATGGTTATAAAATACCAGTGGAGGTGATGTGCAAAAAGATCGATGATGTTACATTGGAAGACCTTGTGAGAGTTGCAAGGAAAATTGTTAGAGGTCATGTAGTCAACGAAGGGAAGGGCACCGGACAAGTGACGGTAGTTGCACAAGGAAATTTGAATGGATTACCGGATGTAGTTAAAATTTGTGAACGTTATGGTCTAGGTAAACATAGCAGTTCGAAATGGCTGTGATGATGGTAATGGAGTATTTAAGGGTAGAGTACACGTAGATTATTTCGTAGAAAATAAAAATATGTTACTAATAAAATTTTTAAAGATGTGACTAAAATTTATTCAAAATTTTAAAAAATATATATTAAACTAGATTATTTATTATAGCAAAACTGTAAAATAATATTTAGGGGATAGTTTCAATTTTCTATTATCTGAAATAATAATGCCTACAGCCATTATTTTGTGGCTTTATAGTATATGTTGGTATGCTATTTCTTGATCTATGCTTTAGACAAATTTTAAAAAATCAAATAGTTTTAAGAAAAAGTAACACTTATTAGAGATAAAATTCCATCAGGTTTAAAAATAGCTTTAATAATTAGCATTTAATAAGCTAAGTAAAACTTGGCATTTAAAAGGCAGCTGAGGTGGGGTATGTCGAGTGTAGCCCAAGTAAAATTTCTTATTATGTTCTATAATCAGAAATTTGATTTTGTGTTCGCAACGCAGAAGGATACTCTTATACAAATTCGGGCTACACGCCCCAACGCACCCCGAAGTACTAAACAAGGTAGGGCAGCTGTTAATCGAAAAAGACCTCTGTTTTAAAAAGCCTAATTATAATTTAAGCCTTAATTCTAACTCTAAAATTTTTATATAATAAGAACTGGACTAGATAGTGCTTTATGCATATTGTGTTTTCTCTTTAATACTATATATATTCAAAAATAAGCTACCCTTCTAATTTTTTTAAAAAATTTTAAAAAATCACTTGCAACTATTACAGTATATATAAAGTTAAGACAATCAAATCATTCTTGCTTCTTAAGACAATTTTGTTTAACATATCAAAATATATCTGTTATTTAAACAATTTTTTATTAGTAACTTTTTTTTTTTTTTATAAGTGATATTGCCTTTATTTATGTAAACTACTATATGACTATTATACAACTATATTCCTATAGTGTACTGCTTTAATCTAATAAAGACTCATAAGGTATTTACTGCTATAACAATTATTCATCTCACTTGGTATCCTTAACTTGCTAAGGATTTTGTATTGTATATTGATACCTTTTTTGGTTATCAATTGGCTATTGTATGCCATGTCAGAATTGCTTAACCTTTTTTTTACACTTTGCTAAGCAAAGACTATACCAGTTTGTTATCCCAGAAGATCCACTCTTCAACTATCTTTTTCTTCTCTTTTATTAATTCAAGATTTTTTTTCTTTTTTTTTTCTTTCTACTTTTTTACTTTTCTTTTTACTGTCTTCAGAATTTTGAAAATTTTTATTCTCTTTATCTGCCTTATTATTTTCATCTGTCTTTCTTTTTTTTATTTTTTCCTTTTTCTTTTTCTAGGTTATTTTATTTTATTTTTTCTAGTTAGCAATTAACTTGCACTAGAAGCTCTATACATGCTTGTAAAACTAGCATCAGTAGTAGTATAGTTTAAATTTTTTAAAAAATTAAAGATTTGAAAATAAGCTATCTTTATGATTTTTATATAATTTTTTGGCAAAAAAATAATTTATTTTTAGATACTGTATACTGGTTTATTATATTAATTATTAAAAATTTTTATATTTAGTTTAAATATATAATTATCTTTCTTTACAATTACTTTTTATATAATCCCTTTTTTTTTTTTTTTTTTTAAGCAATCTTGTCTTTATTCATCAGAACTACTATTCTAATAACCGTACAATGTACTTACATTTTTATAGTATAATATTCTAGTCTAATAAAAACTCACTAAGCAAAATGCCCAATGCGACCCACTATAACAACAATTTGTCTTACTCAGGATCCAACACTTTCGTCGAATTTCGTACTAACAAGAGTACCTCCCTTGATCATGGACAGGTTGTTGTCTACCTTGTCAAGA